CAAGAAAAATTGTAGAAGTGCTGGAGAGTAGAAGAGTAGTTCAGATGAAGTTCTCTGTACCCAAGGCTGGCCCTGCATTGACCGGTGAGGTCTACCAGGACCCCTGTTATTAACCATGACAGGCTCTGATGTCCTCGTTTGTGGTATAAGGACAGGGCCAGACAAGACCTGGTGCTAAGGAGGTCCTACTCCCAAAAGTAGGCTGTCCTACTCCCAAAAAGCTCCCAGCCAGGAGAGCAAGATGGAGATGAGTGATGTCTATAACCTGCTAGATATGAACAGGAGTGAAGTTTTGAGGGCATGCTGCCTGCAAAATGAGATGTTCTGGGTGTCAAAATCCTGGGAATGAAACAGTCCACTGATGTGTGCAGTGTTGAAAGTGAGAAAGAAATCATTAATATTAGACTGAAGTGACCACAAGCATAAAAATAAGCAATTCATTCAATATCCTGTAGTCTAAGTAGCATAACTTTTCTTGCAGATGCCATATATTTTAAAATAATGAAAAAAGTTTTGGATTGTGAAGCATTTTCCTCTGTTCTCATAAAACTGCAGCATACTAGTGCATGGTCCCAAGCAAAAATAGGGCCTGGCTTTCGCACGAACTATGTGTATGCTGTCTCGTGTCAACTGTTTTATTCTTATGAATGGAAATCATTGTGGTTTAAGCTGGAAAATGTATAACCACGCATACATACTTGGCTTAACCAAAATGGCTGTGCTCCTTTTCACTTCATATATGCTTTCTTTTCTCTAATATTTCACATTCCTAGTTTAAGGTTGAGCTCACTGTCACCCCGTGAATCACTTTTAACAGAAGTTACTTTGACTTCAAACATAGGCATGCCTTTATCTACATTTCTGCAAGGGAGTATTTCTTTTGGGATAACAGAAATAAAAGCCTGTTTTAGTCTCCCTTGTTATATGGGTCCTTAGGGTGCTTATTTAAAAGCTTGGCGTTTAAACAGATTTTAAAGTCCTCTTTTTGTTATCATTTAATAACCTTCACAAAGTGCTGCAATATTTAACAGAATTTAAGGCTAGATTTTTGTACGTCTTCAAATCTTCTACGTACCCTGCAAACACAAGGTACATCTATACTTGTTCATGCTATGTCTTCTGTTTTGTTTTTGGAGCGCTGGCATTTCAGTTTTAGGTAGAGCTACAGATGTGTTCAAAATCTGTGCTCTTAATCTAATTAGCATATCCCTTACTCAAGGCTGCCTCTTCTGTGCCCTTGGGAAGCAGCTCCAAAACCGTTTCACACCATTGCTCTCAAATGTGCCACAAATGGAGATTGTGTGTGGTCTTGGGAGATGGCCCCAAAATGGCTTCACTGCCCTATTTCTAGGTTTAGCACGTGTAAATGGCAGTAGATGGTTGGGGTGTATTTGGGAGCAGCATTATATATCCCAAGTATCTCAAATCACTTAGGAAAAATAAGACAAACTCAAAAGTTTATGACCTTTATAAAATTTACCTTGGTTTTACCTTATTTTTTTTGGTGTCGTATAGAATCCACCCTGTGACTAAAATCGGCTCATTACTATTGAGAGAGGTTTTCAGGTGGTTTTATGTAAGCCACCCTTTTGAATGCAGTCCAGCACAATAGTGTCCGATACTTGCTACCAGCTGGTGGTTTCTGTTCATTTCCTAATGGGCCAGTATCCATGTAATTTAAAACTCAACACCAGTTTCATGGGCAGTTCTAATAATAATAAAAAAAAATCCTAAATTAATTGGCACTTGAAACAGAACTGTCCTTAAGCATATAGGCATGATACATTCAAAACATGGGCTGGAGCAGATGTCGAAGTCAAGGACAAGAAATTTGCAAGGTCACTTCTTTTGTTGTTCCAGTTTTATAGATTAATTGGATTTTGTTTTAATATTAAGAAAATGACACCTTCCATAAGCAATGCATTCATGTAGAAAGCCCTCACTCAAGCACTTTTAATGGATGGTTAGGTTTTATGAGGTTCCCCTTACTTTTGCGTGGCTTCTGTAATTGTTAAGATGGCTATTTTAAATATGAAAGACCTAGGCTTGATTTAATTCAAATGACTGTACTTGTTGACATAGCTTACACAGAAGCCTGTTCCCTTGAATTTCTATAATCGTTTTTGTCGTATTACCTAGTTTGAAGGAGTATATATGGTTTATATATCTCTTGGGCATATTAGAATATAGCTCATATAAATAATAGCAGATGCATCTTTTTCAGCATACATATTACATGTAGAAAATTCCTTCATTGAATTAACTCCTTGTTGCTGAGAACTGGGTTACTTTAAGCCTTTTTTTTTCCAGGGCTGGCAATGAATGTTTCTGGAACATGTAATATAAAAGGATTAATATTACTAAGTGCAATATTTAAAAGCTTCCAGATGCGTAGCATCAATTAAAGTATTGTAATTCAGTGCAAGGTGGCAAAGGCAAGCAGTCAGGTAGTGGCCCTAGATTTTAGGAGGGCGAACTTCAATGAGCTAAGGAGGATAGTTGGAGAAGCGCTGAAGTCTCAGAGGGGAGGGGAGCCGGGTGTCCAAGGGGAGTGGTCGCTCCTTGAAGAGACGATCCTCCAAGCCCAGAGGAAGGTAATCCCCAGGAGGGTCAAAGGGGGCAGGAGAGCATATAAGCCTCCATGGCTCACCAGAAACATCCGGGAATGTCTCCTTGCCAAAAAGGAGGCTTACTCCCAATGGAAAGGAGGGGTCATCACTAAGGAGGACTA